GGACTGTGGTACTTTAGTTAAAGGTAGTTTTTGCGAACCTGACGAACAGGACAATATAAATACTTTAGGTCCTATAGAGTCTATTTCCACCACTTTCGGTGACGAGGTGACGGTGACATGAAGTGCATGAGAAGGTGTCCCTTCATTACAATATATTTGAGGAACACTCATATTCTTCACCTTTAGGAAGTTTAGATAATAGGGCGATAAATAGCAAAACGCAAACAGATGCGTACCTAAGTGAAAGGAGACCTAGGAAAAGAAAATTTGTTAGCGAACTAGATAGCTTAAAAAAAAAAAGAAATACATATTTAGAAAATGAGGTGCAAGAAAAAAAAAAATTAGAAGAGAAGGAAAAAGAAATTGAGGCCCTAAAAAGAAACAAATTGTCTATTGAAAATAGTGATAATAGGCAAACTGTTGAGCTACATATGTAACAAATTGCCTCCACATATTGCTGCATGTGTGAGGAATAGTTTGTTTARTACTAACCGTAATCTTCACGGTAATAGATTCGGTGGGGAATTAGGGAATTAAAAACCATAGCTCTGGGGATTCACTTCTTGTCACCTCTAGCATATAGATATTTACAGCCCTATTTTAATTGGCTATCACCAAGAACTTTGTCCAAATTTATTCAAAGTTGGCCACGAAGTCCTGGTTGAACGTATAGCAGCATAAAAACTCTGGAACTGCCAAGCCGTGGCTTTACGAGTGACTAGAAATACGTGTCAATTTGCTGCGATGAAATGTCTTTGAAGAACCATTTGCAGTACGATAGATATAGGCATTTAATTGTAGGTCTGGAGAATTATGGTGATGAAAATCGTACCTCCAGAACTGCTTCAAGTGTTTTAACACTTATGGTTCAAAGCATAGGTGGGGAGCCTTGGTCTCAACCACTTGGTTATTTTTTTGTGCATAAATCATGCAAAGGAGATATTCTAAAACAGTATGTATGAAGTTGTGGCGCAACTTCATGGGATAGGTCTCCACCCCTGCCATTTTGTGTGTGACCAAGGGTAAAATTTTGTGCATTTTGCCCGGGTTGGAGGAGTGACAGAAGTCGTATTTTTTTACGATTCTCCACATCTCATAAAAAGTGCGCGAAATTGTTTGCAAAATAGCAAGAACGTAGTTAGTTTCTATGGACGTCTTGTGAATTGGAGTGATATAATTCACTTCCATGAGCAAGACGCTCAACAAAGTATTAGGTGTGCGCCTAAGATAACTTTAGCTCATCTTAGGCCCTCAACTTTTGAAAAAATGAGTGTGCATTTAGCTACACAGGTTTTCAGCAACACGGTTGCTAGTGCATATTCACATATAGCTCCGGGAAATTGAATATTTCTAAGTCTCCAACTTTCCTTAATACCGCCGTATTTGTTCTTTCTTTTTTTATTACATTTTTTAATATATTTAAGTAGTAGGCTTGGAGCCCTACGAAAATTTAATGATCCTTTTTTCGGTAGTACGGAACAAATTAACTTTCTCTTAGAAGCCGAGAATTTTTTTTAAATCATTGAAAGTCAATGATAGTTTAGGTCGTGACATCACGAATACCTCTACATTTATTAAAGAATGGCTTCTAAACATAAAAGGTTTACGATATTTCTGGAAGATCTTATGCACCAAAGGATTGGAAAATATTAGGACAAGAAATCTTTGTCAAGACAGACTTGAACATTTTTTCGGACAGAATCGTAGAGGGGGCGGAAATAACGTGAGAACTACTCCGTACATGTTCTCATGTCTTTTCCGAAAATCCTGGGGCCTTAGTACTGTTAACTATGTGACTATTATTGCTGTGCTAATTCTCAGCCGAACGTTCTTAAATGCCTTTTCATTAGGATAAGGACGTAATTTTCAATAAAATTTTTTAATCAACAGACGAGCACAACTGCYTTCAAACATGTGAAATTTTTATGTGTTGCACACATGTAAAATTTGTCAGAAGTCCTTTGTCCGGGTGTTTGTCTGAAAAAAATCTTCATTGGTTGTAACTTATTAACATAATTTAATTTTGATATTTTGAAGGGCTCAAAAAAATATTACGATATAAATGCACACTAGTATATTCTTGCTATTAGGCACATTCCGAATTTTTTATAGATAGGATACACAAAAAAAAAAAAAAAAAAAAAAAAAAAAAAAAAAAAAAAAAAAAAAAAAAAAAAAAAAAAAAAAAAAAAAAAAAAAAAAAAAACCGGTAACGCGCCTACTTGCATACCTCAATAAATAAAATCTACTGAAATAAAACATTTAGTTATAGTATACTTTTTATTTGGGCTTATAATTATAAAATCGGTGGAAGAAGGGTCCACCAATTTTGCTGTTCACAAAGTCAAACTAAATGCAATAATGAAAACAAAAGTAATAAACAAAAAATAACTGCGATAAGTTATATACTTTCATATTTCAAAAAGTACTAACACCTACGTGAATATAAGATTTCTATGCAAGAAATAGTTTGACTATACAAATACACCGATTGTTCGAATATATTCCATTTGAAATTATCCTAGTCGATAATAACTTGTTCGACTCAAATTAAAATACAACTCAAATTCCTTAATTTTTAATAGCTTTCATTTGATGAGTGTTGTTTATTATTTGCTTGGCTGTTGTTAGCGTTGCTGCCATTATAGTAGGTTTATGCAAACATACGTATTTCTTCCCGATGTTCTATCGGTTTTGGTGGAGCTGGTTCCTCCCACTCTCCCAATTCGGCATCATAATATTGCGCAGCACGATATGGTTGCAAATTCCATAGTACTTGCTTTTCCATGGAGGTCAATTGTACACCCAAACGACATCGGTAATACATTCGCGATCGATACGTCCCATATATAGCTCACCAATAGGTTATCCAGGACAGATAAGCTCAGTGAACTTGGCTTTCAATGTACATATGTCTTAACAACGGTATCCCCACCATTTTTCATCTTTGCGCATAACACGATGGAACCAGTCAGTTAATTCGCTCAACTGGTAACACTTTGGTCTGCAAGGTGGGTGTTGAGGGTTTAGCATATTAGAATTCATTTTGCTCAAAACCTACCAGGAGTATCGGGATCCTTAGCGCAATTGGCAATAGCTTGTGCAACATCCGAACAGCACATTCACCGTAGTATTTGCTCTTCAAAAAGTTGCTTCCACCCTCAAGTACAAAGCTCATTGGTTTGCGACTAGTTKTTAAGGAAAACAAATAATCAAACGTTGTACACCAGCTTCTTTGCCGATTCTATAAAAGAAAAAATTAAAAAATACATGGTAAATCTTTTAAAATAAAGTTTGATTTTAGCTTACCTAGCAATGCGACGTGCACCTTCCACGAGCACGTCATTGAATTTAAAATTTTGTCTTGAATACACGACCAACTAAGTCTRATAACTACATTTGAGTACTTCACAGCATCGCGTTCGCTTTCTCATCTCTTAAATCATAAAATTGGAACATCACCTAACACATTACACAGCAATATTAACGAAGCCATGTTTAGTTATTTCGTACTTTTAATTGAATAAAATCCCAGTCGATCTGTTATTTATCTTCCCAATGGAAATTCGCAAACACTTCTTCCATATTCAAATAACTAAATAAACCATAGTAGTAAAGGATTGTCCCATGAAATAAATTAAAACAAATTGTTTTGCACCTGCGTTATGACGGCAAAAATATAAATATGGCTGTGAATGAGCATATTCTTCACCCCACCATTCGACATGGTTGCTTATTTGTTCATAACATTTTTCTATGGTGAACWTACCACAGTTAAAAAGAGGCATAGATAAAAAACTTCATTTTTCATATATTTGCTCATATTGTTCTCATCTTTAAAAATATATATTAAAATAAAAATATTTTCTTTTGAAAATATATTAAAGTTTTAAATATAACCAATATTTTTGGGACAACTTTTCCATTAATTTTTAGAAAATAACACAATGCAACCATTTTCCGGTTAAGAGTCGGCCATCTTGGATTCCAATAGAAACTAAGCCCCGGACTCCCCTTGATGTTTCTACCTCTCAGCTGTGGCTTTGTTTACATAACAGTAACAGCAGATTAGTGGCTCAACTCAACTCCTCCTCCTCAATGTGCGCACACAGAGTGACACCGCGACCGCAGTCACTTATTAGTAGCAAAGCAAAAATGGCTCCTTTAAAACGATAAGTCTACCACGACTTGAGCTTTGTGGCVCACTACTACTTTCCAAATTAGTAGCCATGGTGCAAATGCATTTATACAGTACGTAATCCAATTGAGCAAATAAAATCACGAATGTCGATTCCTACAAAAAATGTGTATTTAATTTGGACGAATTGAATTGCGGTTTTACAAATACATAAATATAAATTCTCTTGTTTGGCACTTACTCAATTTTGATACAATGTAATTTTTACCGCTTTAATATTTAGTATAGCCTCCGTTGGCCGTAATCACCGCTTCAATCCGCTTGAGAACGCTATTRGCTAAATCTTCACATTCTTTTTAAGTGATGGAGYTCCATACTTCTACACATCTAGTAAATAATTCCGCCTTTGTTTTCGGTGGACTGGCATAATTGTATACCCTTTTTTTTCACAAACTACAGGCTCTCGATAGGATTAATATCGGGACTTTGAGGAGRCCATTCCAAAGTTTCAATTCGTTAACTTCTAAGATACTCCATAACCTTCTTAGCTTTGTGCTTGGGGTCGTTGTCTTGCATCAGAACAATTTTGCTACTGTCCAGATCCAATTTCTCCAACGAAGAAAAATACTCTTGCCTTAATATATCTATACACATATTCGTGTCCATATTTCTCTCGATTAAAATTAGGTCCCCAATACCACTTTTACAAAAGCCACCCCAAAAAAGCCTCCAAATTTGAGTGTTGGGATGACATCGCGGCTGGTAATTGTCTTTGATGACTTCTTCCAAACGTAATATATTCCGTCTGACCCGTGAAGATTAATCTTGCTTTCGTCTGTCCAAAAYACATTCGCCCACTGTTCTGGAGTCCAGTTTCGGTGCGCTTTAGCAAATTTTAGAAGTAGTTCTTGCTGACGTTTAGTAAGCAAAGGTTTTTTAATTTTGCGCCTGGCTTTAAACCTTAGTTTTTTCAACTCGCGGTGTACAGTCATACGAGAAACTTGTTTTCCGTAAGTCATCTTAAGTTCCTTTTGAACCTCAGTACCTTATTTTACTGCTCCCGAGGCCAGCAGACAGTTGATAGTTCGTCTATCGTGGTAATTTAAAACGGATCATCGAACAGATCGATGTTTGGGTACTGATATTTCATGACAATTAATAATATTTTTCACTCACCCAAATGAAATTTCAGCTAAATTTGCAACTTGCCGACATGAGAGCCCTTCATTCAACCATTGAAGCACAGACTTTTTAATAGGGTCAACAATTTTATTCATTTTTCTAAAAAAAACACGAAGTTAACCAGCTTCACAAAAAACAATCTTTTTAATTCTACTTACCGTCTATGAAATGAAAAATACTTATGAAAACGTCAATTAATTGATAAATAGAGCTACTGGTATTTAAAATACTATAAAGTTGTTTATTTGGTCTGTAGTGCAAGTCACTGCACCTCGCCACCACACCACCCTCTGGTGGAATGGCCCCGATTGATAATATAATGTCCTGGTTCTTGAAGGTCGCAAAATCGCCACTTTTCATACATTACTGAATGATGCCGACATCCTTGAACGGTTTTCATCGTCTCCCCGAGCCCTCAGGGTAGTTGTTTACCTGTTCAAATTTATAGAGCAACTTAAAACCAAATTCAAGGGATCAAATAATTTCCCATCCATTACAGTGACGTACGCAGACTTACAAAAAACAATTCGCATATACTCAAGCGCGAGTTATGTGTGCACTGTCACCCCAACCAGACACCACACAACAAAATATTCTAAATTGGTCCAAATAAAAGATTAAAGAAAAACAAGTAAACATTACTAGAACAAAAGAAACAAATAGAGATAAAGAACAAAAGAAAATAATGCAAATGCAAACATCCCTGCAAGACGGGTAGTTGTTAGCAAACGTGTAAGCCACTTGTTATTGTTCACTTTTGGATTCGTTAAAATATTTGTTACTTTTGTTCAGAGAGTGGGGAAAAAATAACACATAGCTAATTGATGTTCATTGGTTATCTCGCTCTAACCAATGGCAAATATCGCATGCTGCCTTGTTCCAACCGAACACATATATTTGTTAGTAAATCTTTTAGCAGTATGTTACGGGTAAAAAATTTTTTTGTTAGCGCAAAGCTTTCCTATATGTTATGGATAACAAAAAGTATTTGTTACCCGAATATCTGTTAGTGTTATTATTTTGGTTATCAGTTTGTTACCTTTAACACATAAACATTTTAGGAAGAACAAGCAGTATCAATCATATATGTTACTCATTTGTTATCCCTAGCAAATTCCATTTTTTTTTTCAAACAAATTCAGTTTTTTTTGTCATTTCGCTTTATTTAAAAACTAGCTGACCCCGCAGCCCTTGTCCTGCGTGAAATTATGTGTTTTGAAATGAAAATAAAGTTSAATTTAACAATGTAACGCAGCTTGATGTACAACATTTTTTGGTTTCTGTTCCGGTGTACAAAAAAGATGGTTTTCCAACTCGTCACCATAAACATAGCATTT